TCATAATCGAGTCTAGGGGTCAGGTGTAACTTTCCAGTTTTGCCCATCTGTCTCCAAGGTCCAGGGCAATACTGGAAATCTGGTCCGGTTCAGAGATTCAAGTAATCCCACACTGCATGTACCTTGGGTCTTACTCTGGTGGCCGAGACAGGCCATCCCAACACTTGGTGGCACACCAGCATCAACCTTGGCAGGATAAATCTCCCCAGACTTATCCAATGGCTGCGAACATTTAAAACTAACACAAGTCTCTATAAGTGTCCAGTTTTAGGGTCTTACACAGAATTATACCAAACCACATGAATCAAACATGCACTTTATTTATTTACATTAAATGTCAAAAGTACATCAAATCGGATTGAAGCTAAGGGCATACAAGACTGTCTAACAAAAAAGGCATGCACCTAGTGCACCTAGGCATGTGCCTAGCACCAAGATTTAAAATGTTGGTGTTGGTGGAAATGTCAGTCATCCATATATTAGAAACATGTCGGAAATGTTGGAAATATCGTATGGAAATATTGTACAAATTCTAGACATGGTGGAAACATTGTAAAATATGCAAAATGTGGAATGATATTTTATGAAATGATAAAAGAAGCATAGACACACCTTTTAAAATTATTATCTTGTTCCAAGTCATTAAACAAAGCTAAGAAACTAAGGTTATGGACAAAAGAATATGTTTTGAAGTTGGTAAACCTTAAGATATAGAGTTTCATGATAGAATGGAAAACAAAATTTAAACTCGTAGAAAATGTAAATGGTTGTAATAGATCAACCAAATAATATTACACAAACAAAAGCTAATATTTAACTTCATGTTTGAAGTAAAAATTGAGCTAGCTCAAAGTGGTATTCATGTAAGTTTGGTTGCAGGTGGAATTTGACCACAGCCATAGATCAGATCTTTGACCCTTCCTTCTTTGTGTGGTCCACAAAAATTGGTAAAACAATGTGGAGGTGCATTAGATCTGCTGCTTTGTGGACAATTTGGGAAGAAAGAAATGCGAGGATTTTCCAAGAGTAGAGAAATATTCAAAACGTAAAGGATAGCATTTTGACCAGGGCAATCCATTGGCTGAGATCATTGGATTCCTTTAAAATATATTCCTTTGATGACATTTGGAGGAACTGGATTGTTATGGCTAGTAGCAGTAACAGGAAGAACAGGGTACCAGCTGTGTGGGTGCCTCCTTCAGATGGCTGGACAAAGCTGAATTTTGATGGTAGTAGCCAAGGAAATCCGGGTCCATCAGGGATAGGTGGGGTGCTGAGAGATAAAGATAGTAATATATTAGCTTTATTCTCTGGCTCCGTGGGTATAGGATACTCTATTAGAGCTGAGCTTCTAGTAGCAGTACAAAGTATTCAGATTGCAGACTAGTTAGGAGTTCAAAATTTGCTTATTGAAGGAGACTCCAAAGTCGTTGTGGGTTGGTTAAAAATTCCAGCTTTAGTTATTTGGTGCTACAGGGATATTATGAGGAAAGCTAATTGGTTTTCAAGGAACATGACTGTTAATTATCAGTGGGTGGGTAGAACATCTAATACCATGGCGGATGGGTTGGCTAAGCAAGGGGTATCAAGGGAACATTTATTCTGGGCAGCTCTGTAAACTTTCATTTCCTACTTTGATGTAGTACTTTGTTGTTGTTGTGGAGAGGTACCAGCTGGTGCCTCTCCTTTGGGCAGGCTGTATTGTAAGTTCATTCTGATTATCATGAATAAATTATCAATCATTTATAAAAAAAAAACTCGACTCTACATAGTGCTAATAGTGTTCATTGGGGAATATGTCGATTCCAGTAAAATTTCATGTCACTACCCATGGAAGTAAAAATGGAAATGTGCTGGTAGTGTTCATTGGGGAATATGTCAATTCCGGTAAAATTTTGTCACTACCCATGGAAATAGAAATATGTTGTGGAAATATCAGGGAAATTAGGGACACTTTAAACGGTTAAACCATTCCTTGCGCTTCAGCCCTGTGTGCACCTTTTTTATTTTTTTGCGCTTTTTGTTCTTTTTGAACCTAGTAGCTGGGATGGAGGCTCCACCCCCTGACCCTCCATTTGCTAATGTCGTTCATTCATTAATCCTAGTAAAATATCTTTTTAAAAGGCAATTAAAATTATAAGATCCATTTTTTTTTGTGCAAGGATTAAGAATTTAAGACCCTAACATGGACTTGTTTGTGCTAGCCTCAAGGAGCTTTCTACAAAGGCAGTTGTAGAATCAAGGATGCAATATGGTTTACACTTTACATCACATAAGCTATTTGAAGTAATGCAATAGAGGAAAACAAAGAAATTTTGGGTTTTACATGCTTGAAAATGTTTTATATGTGTGATTATATTTTTAAATTTTCATTTGAATATTGTTTACATGTTATTTTTATGTATTTTAATTTTAGATAATAGATTTATTAAAATATTTATTTTGAAATTTAAGTTTATAGTTTTATCAATATTATGTTTATACATATGTTTTTTAATTTTTTGCATTTTTTGCCATTTTTGTATTTTTGCATGTTGCTTCGAAAAAGCGCATGTCTCGCCTTGCACCTTGTGCCTTGGGCACAAATTGCCCCTTGCGCTTTTATTGCGCCTTGTGCTTTTATAACATTGCTTATAATCATAAAGACAAGGATACTCTTTAATGAGTCATTTATTCTAAAAACTTTGGATCTGACTTTGACCAGGTTAGGCTTCTGATCTTGCTGTCTTGTAGTAATATATGACAGAGCTAGGGGATTGTTTTCCATTCTATTTGTCTTGATTGATTCTAGTATTAGTTAAGGGCCTTCTGAAAATGTTTGGAGGCTAATTTAAAACAAATAAGATTCAAGGGACATTGGTGTGTTGATCTTTTATTTAGAAGTTAGTTACTATTCAATGATAAGTGACAATATCATTGGTTTGCTTTATTAGAGTGCAGAGAGATGGAGAAGTCTAACCAAAGATGCTGCACTCCAGAATTTTGAGTTGCATGCTTTCCGTGCTGCCTTCCAGATGGTAGATAAATTTTCCTTGTTTTCTTTTCCTATCTCCTGCCATATTGATCATGATAATTTATTATTGTCGTTGCCTAAGTCATTAGTTTGTGCTTTAATTATTTGTTTTATACCTGTGGTTATACTTATGATCTTGTCATAATGTGATTGGCTACTGTATTTTGAGTTTCCCATAAAAGAATTGCTGAATTGCAAGGATGATATGGTTTTCTTAACTCGTTAACTTCGATTTTCTATCTCAAACCAGTGCTTAACATTGACTTTTGTATTCTTATATGGATGTGATGTGGCCTGAAAGAAGGGAAAAAGGAGAAAATAATGTGGCATGACTTTTAGTATCCTCCGTGATTTGGGGTAGATCCTCAGATGCACCACCATGGGATTGATGGGGCTTCACCAAGGCCCACTAACCACCCCCTAGGGCTGCCTACTCTATGAGGCACTATGCGATCATCCACTAGGAAACCTATAGGTGAATGAGAAAGTTGACTCAAGTAGAAACATAAAAGGGTGTCATTGTGCTCAACCCATAGTTTTCATGGCACCAAGGCGAGGCTTGGCGACGGGGGAAGCCTTGTCACCTAGTCGCCTAGGCGATGGATGTTTTGTAAGCAAAAAACATATATCCTAGGGTAATTCCCTAGGTTCCATAACCATATTTCTTTAATAATTATCCATGATTTTCATAAGAGAAGTATAAATTTCGTGTTAATGTATAGAAAATCAACATATTCATGAGAAGAAAAAGAAGAAAGAAAAGAAAATTCAAAAAATATAGGGGCTGAACCCCTATTTTTGTTATAGGAAAAGAAGAAAAGAAAAGGTGGAGGAAGAAAATGTGTTGATTAGACAAAATTTTAAGTTCTTCCTTATTGGCTTCGGTTTTGAAGTCTTGAGGGTTCAATACAGCATTTAGCAATGTATGTGTTGACTAAACCCTAACAAATAAGAAAATAATAAAAAGAAATTAGTATATAAACACACAAAATGACTATTTTATTTTAATAATGTCTATTTTATTATTATAACCCCCAAAAATTAAGAATATAAAAGTATTTATAACACAATGTACAAAACTGCTTGGCAATTAGGCGAGGCGAGCCTCCAAGGGCGCTTTGCTGCCTAGGCATCACCTTGACAACTATGGCTGAACCACCACCTGAATAGAGCAAGAAATTTTGTGTACATTACTAAAATATATGCAATTACATATGCTGGATTTTGGAGGGATAAAATAAAGACAAGAACATGATATTCTTATCTATACTATATTTGGGACTATGGTACACCAGAACCATAAAACAGCATTAAAATAATTTTCATATATTTTACCACATTTTGTATTATTGGAATTGAAATCCTAGGTGTGAGGTTTCTTTGTCAGGGGAGGGGCTTGTCAAGGTGTTTTGTTTGTTTTTGCTTTTTTTTTTTTTAATATAGTTTGTTGAGAAAAGTGGAATTTTTTGTAGAATGTGCGCTGAGTGTCTTTGATGTAGGAGCATAACCCAAGTGACATGTAGCAAACACATAGAAGGTGTGCTGGCATCTATGTGGCATCTTATATGTCAGATTAAGTGTCAGTTTTAGTATTTATTTTTAGTAATTGATTATTGTTGTTTGAGTTATTTAGAATCTTAAATATCATATTAGTTAGTGGGTTATGCTAAGCATGCATTGGTCAATTTGAAAATAGTCTCTTCCATCTAGATAGTGATAGAGAAGCATTTAATGCAGTGGTTGGATGTTGTCTCCAATGTATTCTCTATATTACCAACGAAATGGAAGAGGAAAGGTTGGAAAATTTGTCCATATTATCAACAAAGCAAGAAATGTTCTCTGATTGTTAGCAAAACTCAAGAAATGGTTTGTGGCAAAAGAAACTCTAAAATGTTGATGTATAAGTTGAGTTGGCTGAGTTAAGACATTCAAATCAACTTCTCCATGGGGATGTGAGATCTTCTCCAAAGAATTCAATCCTCTTGAACTCAAAATAAGGGCAGAGGTTCACAAAGCTCTGATTATGCTAATGTTGCTCATTCCTCTTCTTCTAACTCTGTTCCACATTTAGCCTTTGTGTTGGGTTATTTCCCAATTCAAGCTTCCCTTTGAGGGTGAAGCAGCATCCTGAATCAAAAGCTAGAGACGAAAGGGGGAGAGAAAGAGATAAGGTGAGTTCCTTATTCATTTGATTCTCATAGTACAGATTCCTCCTTTATACTTGTTCATCTACTTGCAACTGTCTTACAATAGATTATCACAATTTGCTCTTAACCACTCGCCAACTTGGCTTCTTGATTAGTTACATTTAACTGGTTCTTGGTTAGCTGCCCTTGGGAGCTGACATGGCTTCCTTCTTCTAGAATACACCTTCAGCTTGTTAGCCTGACCCTCTAGGTTCCTAACAACTCCCCGCTCCTTGAGATGGCCCTCGTTAATTATAGGAACTAAAGAGCTAATCAGCTAAGTTAGTGAAAGGTTCCCATGTTGCATCTTCCACTGGTAAGCCAACCCAGCTAAGAAGAGCTTCCTTGGAGAATGATTGAACAGTCTTCATCTATAGATTATCAAGGATCTCTCTGGGCTGGAAGTGAAGCCATCCTTCCTTTGTGAAGTCTGGTAAGGTGGGGCATGGAAGCTGATTCTGACCCACCGCCTTCTTTAAGTAGGAGATGTGGAAGACTGGGTGCAACTTGGAGGTTGGTGGCAGCTCTAATCTAACTTGTATGCTAAAAGCCCAATGCACTGCACTGCCTTGAAGGGTCCATAATAACATGGGGCCAGCTTATAGTAGGACCTTGTAGCAATAGAGGATTGCTTCCTATCATAGTGTCTTTTCATTTGTTTCCTGGGAACATGCTAAGTGGGCCTTAAGATCTTGTAGGACTTTGTCACGTTGGTGGGGGGGGGGGCATCCATCCATGACTGCATTGGCTGATGACCCCTTCTTATATGGCAAGATAAATGGAGGTTCCTGCCCATAGAGGATCCTGAAGGGAGTAGTGCCCGCTGAAACATGAAACGATGAGTTCTACCAAGATTCGGCCCACGACAACCATTGGGCCCACTGATGGGGCCTATCCCTCACAAAGCACTAAAAATCAGTTTCAATGCAGCGGTTGACAATCTCAATTTGGCCATCTGATTGTGGATGTTAATTGGTGGAGGTATTGTTCTTGACTCCTTGCAGCTTAAAGTACTCTTTCTAAAAGTTACCGAGGAAGGCTGGATCCTGGTCAGAGAGTTATAGCCTTAGGAGTCCCATGAATCCTTAGTGACTTCTCTAACAAATGCTTCAGTCACCATTGCTACAGTATATGGGTGGGGCAGAGGGATAAAATGGATATATTTTGAAAGACGGTCAACGATCACCAAAAGATCTGATTTCCCCTTTGATGTTGGCAGTCCTGTAATGAAGTTAATCGAAACCTCCTCCCACATCTCATCTGGAATGCACAATAGCTGTAGTAAGCCAGCTGAAAACTGTGCCACATACTTGTGTTGTTGACAAACACAGCCATCTTCTTTCGCCCAATTCTGCATTTGTATCATAAACAAACACAGCAATAACATTTTCTTACAAAACTTTCAATGACCAAATGAAATATGACCTAGATGACAATGCCAAAGATAAACTTATTTCTCAAGACTGGACTATCAAAAAATGACCGACATTCTAGCAGCTTATCAGGAGACTATCAAAGATAAACACCATTTGCTTTATGCCTATTTCTTTCTCCCTGTTCTCAAGTCTTGAAACAATGTGTGTGGACAGGAAAGAAGGTTACACAATAGTTCAATAGTTTAATTTGTAGTAAGAGAGCTAACAAAAAGGAAACTAATTTAATTACATGAACCACAAATGAAAGAGGAATGTTATCACTAAGTTGAATATCACCCATGCCAGAGATAGGGATATATATCAATCATAGTGATTTGTTCTCTACTAGAGGCCACTCTATATGAAGGAAAACAGGAAAACATAGCAGTCATGTTTTTAAATTCACCCAAATCAATAAGCCAAGTAAAGGCTGCAACTGCATAACAAATAAGGGAATTACAGAGTTGGCAAAGGCAGTGGAAGGAGTGCCTGACCCAGAAGAAGCAACAACATTGCTTTTAAGATGAGTAGATGGCTAAGCTGGAGTAAAGACATCTATACTTAGAATGCACTGTCTAGTGAAGTCATATTCTGGATTTAGGCCAGCAAGAAATTCACAATTCCCTTATTATATGTCTCCCTATGGAGTATGGAGTTTATAGACCCTAGCGATATTTTGAGCTTGTATGTATCTGGAACGCCATCCTAAGTTTCCTTGGTGATAGACAAGAGCATAAAGTTTTTAGCTACATGCAGCTCAATGGGAATAACAATCCAAGTCATCACCATAAGATTTTCTTCCTCCCACTTAGGATATAAGGGATCATGCAACTGGGGCTTCTTCTTCGACCCAATAAGATTTTCTTCCTCCCCTTATATCTGATGTCAAAATTTAGAAACAATAGTGAAAACAACTTGATGTGACCAGATTCTTTGTGGGATTGAAGACTGAATATGAGCTGGTGAGAGTATAGATATTAGGTGGTTCTGCCCTTCCCTCTCTTGAGGAGGTGTTTTCCATCTCTGTAGGATTTCTATTGGACCTTCAGAGAACCCTACTATATCTGATAGGTCTGCCTTTACAGTGACAAGAGGGGGAGGTCGTGGAGATTGAGGAGGCTGGGGAGTTCAGCTGGGTCGTGGTGGTGGGCATAATGGAGGTCAAGGTTCAAGGGGAGGTCGTGGTAGAGGGCATACTAATGGTTCGTAGAAGTGTACCTATTGTGGAATGGAGGGGCACACTATTAACTTTTGTTATGATCTACATAGGCCACTCTCGACATGGGCCAATCATGCGGTGACAAGTGGTGGAGTTGGTATGAGAGATAAAATTCAGCATGTTGATCAACCACCTTCTACACCTACATATGGCTTTGGGGAAGAAATGATGAGTGTTCCACGTG